AACAGACTGACAAATTTACTTCTCTAATATCTTTTAATTTCTTTTTTTTTTTTTTGGCCATTCTTTATATTCTCTATTTTCGCATTTTCTTTTTTTTTTTTTTTGATTTTGCAAATGTGAAAGTTTTTCTGCTTCTTTCCTATCTGTTTTTTAATCTTCCATCATTTTTGCTCTTCTGAACGCTTGTTTTTTCTTCGTCTTTGTCAGTATTACAAGACAGCAAACCAAAAGTTTTTTAGCTTGTTGTATTGCAAAAAAAGCAAACAGACACAAAATAATTGTCTCTTTTAGAAATGTTAAACGTTCGAACAGTAAAATTGTAAAAGAAAGATGGAGGAGGAGAAGGAGGAGATTAAAAGAGAGAAAACGAAGAAGAAGAAGAAGAAGAAGAAAAGAAGAAGAGAAATGGGAAGAAGGAAAGAAGAAGGAAAGAAAGAAACAGAAGCAGAATAAAGAAGTAAAGAGGGGTATGGAAAAGGATAAGAAAAAGCAAAAAAATACATGAAGAAAAAGAAGAAAAAAGTGGAAAGAAGAAACAGAAAAGGGAAAAAATGTGAGAAAAAAGGAAATGAAGAAGAAAATGAAGAGATAACTTGTAATTCTGAGCAAAATAAAAGAAATGGAACAATTCTGACTTACAGCGATGACAGTGAAAAAATTTCTTTTTTTTTCCCTTCTCGTATTTTTTCTGTTCCTTTTTATACTGTCTTTAGTTAGCGGAAAAAAAGGAGAGTTTCAGATTTCACTGATCATTGCAAAAGATATTTGTAATATATTGCCTTTTTTTTTCTGCTTGGCAAATAGATAAAGCTGAACGACGAACCGAATCAAATATATAGCAACAAATTTCATCGGTAAAACATCAAAAACGCAGGCAAAGAGATTCCAAAACTTACAAAATGCAAAATCCCGTTTTTTTTTTTTCTTTTGCCGTAATCACCGCTTTACCGTCCGTATTTACGGTTACCGCTTTGCCGCGTTTGTTGTCGCTTTCAGTCCGTCCATCAACTTTTTCATTTTGACGTTCTTTAAGAAATTATGATTGAACAGTTTTTGAGTTGCAGATTTGCTTTACTAATCAAACACTACAACAGTACTTTAATAATGACAGCAGCAGCAGCAGCAGCAGCGGTAGTAACAACAGCAACAACGCCAACAAAATTGAACGATGAAAAAAAAACCTTCCTTTCATCTGCATACTCATCAACTTAGTCTTAACCATCCACACAACGACAACGACAATATTTTTAGAAACAAAAAAAAAATTCCTTTTTTTTTTTTTTTGCACCCTATAAGATCATTCGTTTTTGCTGTAATCATTAGCAACTCGACAACAGAAACAATAGCAGACAACATCCATACCATCAACTTCACCACTTCTACTACCACCAGCACTATCACCGACAACAACGACAGCGACAACAGCAACCATAAACATCTTAATAGACACCCTATCACCAACAGCAACGACAGCCGTTTCCATCTCATCAATTTTCGTTTCACTGTACACAAAAAGAAAACCTTAAACAAACAATAACCATAATTCAACCTTTCTTTTTTTTTCCAAGTAAAAAAAA